CCCTGCATGTGGCAGGGGGGTTGGAGCTTCATGACCCTTGAGGTCCCTTCCAACCCTGGCCATTCTGTGATTCTGTGGCTGCTCCCCTGCACTCAGCATGCTGAAGGGCTGAGACCAGCCCCACGTGCTCCATAGAGGCTCCCGGGTTTCTGATATGAGGGTGGCCAGTGCCCCTGGGGGGCCTTGGTTCCCTACCCCTCTCTCTCCTTCCTCTCTCATGTTTGCCTTTAGGGGGCTGGTGCCCATTAGCCCCATAGCGGTGGCTGGCAGTGGCTAACGGTGCCCATTAGCCCCGGCTGCGCCTCTGGGCTGCAGGGCGGGCTGGGAGCCCTGTAGCTGCTGGGGGGTTGGGCCGTGTCGAAGCCATCAGCGCCCCTGGGAGGCTCGTAGCGCCGAAACGGGGCCTCGGGGCCGCTGGGCTCAGGGACGTGGCCGTGCCGCCCGCCCTCTCGCAGTACGGCCTCCGTCAGTGCTCGACGGGCACACGGGGGCGGGCACCAGGGCACGCCCCCTCCGGGCCTCTACGACAGCGCGTCCTCCTGCCCGCCAGGGGGCGCTGTGCGCGCCGCGCGCTTCCGGCGTCCGCTCCCGCTTCCGGCGTCCTTTGCGCTCTCTTTCTCGGCGGCCGCCGCAGCCATGGTGAGTCCCGGCCGCCGCCATCCGCCGCCATCGGCCGCCGGGGCGGCTCCCCGCGGGGCTCCGGAGCGCGGGGCGGGTTGCCGGGGGGCGGCGGGCCGTAGGGGCGGAGGGCGGCTGGCGAGCGGCGGTGCGTGTCCCCGCAGGGACGTGTGAGGACGAAGACGGTGAAGAAGGCGGCGCGGGTGATCATCGAGAAGTACTACACCCGGCTGGGCAACGACTTCCACACCAACAAGCGCGTGTGCGAGGAGATCGCCATCATCCCCAGCAAGAAGCTGCGCAACAAGATCGCGGGGTGAGGCCCGGGGGGAGCGGAACCCTGCCGTGCTCGGCCCCCGGCGGTCAGCCCGGCTGTGTGTGTGTGTGTGTGTGTGTGTCTGTCTGTCTGTCTGTCACCCCGTCACGCCGCCTGTCCCGCAGGTATGTCACCCACCTGATGAAGCGCATCCAGCGGGGCCCCGTCCGAGGCATCTCCATCAAGCTGCAGGAGGAGGAGAGGGAGCGCCGGGACAACTACGTGCCCGAGGTGCGGCCGGCCGCGCTCACGTGGGCTCGGGGCTCGGGCTGAGGCGCGGCGCTGTTTCCTGAGGAGCGGTGCTTTCAGGGCGCCGGGCTGCGGAGCGCGTTCCCGAGGAGGGGCTCCGGAGGGGCCGGGTATGGGGCAGAGGTGGGACGCGCCGTAGCCCAGCACGGCGTTCCCTCGGGCGCTGCCGGCTTCGTTTCGTCGGCACTGTTGCCGGCCGGAGGGCGCTGCCCTTCCTTTTCCTGGCAAAAAATAAGCTCGGTAATAACTCCTCGGCGCACAGCACGGCCCGAAGCCGTCGTGCAGCAGATGTCGCTGAAGGGCAGCCGTGGTTCGGTTGCACGGCGCTGAGCCGGTCCCACAGTGCACCCACCCTGCAGGGACCTCCGTGCTCCCTGAACCTGCATTCGAAAGTGATCGTGGTCTGCTGCGTGGCCCGGTCATTGATAGTGCAGGGAGAGGAACCCGAAAGCATTTCCCGTGTTTGGTTGGGTCCGTGCCATCCCTCCCAAACCCTGTAGCATTCGGACATCGGCTTTGTGCCCCTCTTCCTATAATGCTGTTAGCTGCTGTGCTGCACGAAAGCAGCGTTCAGTCTGGTTACTTGTGCTCTTCAGTTCTCCTAGTTTGCTGGTGCTTGGTTTGCTTATTTTAAATCTGGGAAAGCAGATAGTTTTGTAGGCTGGGATGCGGTGATGAACCCGGTGCCTGGGCTTGGTGTGATTCCTCACTCCTGGTGTCTGGAAAGGAGCAGCACTGTGCAGCTGCTCTCAGAGCCCTTGGGTGTCAGCTGTGACTGCTGCAGGGGGCTGTGCTCAGCTGCAGGTGGGACAGGTTGCTATGAAGCTCACAGCTCCTGAGCAGGGAAGGAGCTGCAGGCTGAACCTACTTGTTGTTTCTTACTGGTGTGGTGTAGCCTGTAGTGGAAGGGAGCTCACAGAGGTCGAGGTCTGGAGAGGGGAATTGTGAGGTGTTTTGATCGGGTTCCTCCTGGCTCGCTCTGATGGGGGCAATGGATCGGCTCCCCCCACGGCACAGCCAAACCTCTGCTGTGTCGCTTCTGTCCCCAGGTCTCTGCTCTCGACCAAGAGATCATTGAAGTGGACCCGGACACCAAGGAAATGCTGAAGCTCCTGGTGAGTAGCTCAGGCCACCCTGCGGCCTGGTGGAACCTAGCCCAGGTGGTGACCATGTCCCCAGCAGTGCTTCTGAGTCTACTGACAGCCTGGAACGTTCTGTCCCCGTGTCTGGGAGGGCTCTGCCTCCTCCCTTGGTGGGGTCTGGGCACACCGCTGACCCCAGGCTCTTTTCCAGGACTTTGGCAGCCTGTCCAACCTGCAGGTCACGCAGCCCACTGTGGGGATGAACTTCAAAACGCCGCGAGGTGCTCTCTGAGCCACTCGTTATGTTGCTTTTACAATAAATGTGGAAACCAACTCAGCCTGCTCGTTCTTTCAAAGCCCACAGCGGGGAGGAGCAGAGGGCCTCCCTGGGTGCTGCATCTGAGGTGTCGCAGTGTGAGGAGGATTTGACACCTTCCTGGTTGTTTGGGGTGAGAGTGCAGAGCTGTTGCTTGGCAGTGTCCTTACTGATGTTAGGGTGGTGGTGTGCAGCTGGGAGAAGGCAAACATGGAGCGACCTTAGAGCCTCCCAGCTTTGAGTGGGAAGCTCACAAGGTCATGCTGTGCCAGAATAAAAGCTGTCTTTCTGACCATCTCTCTCAATGCTTAGATGGAAGAGGAAAAGTCTCTTTGTGTTTATTTCTACAAGGGAAGTGAACTGATCTGAGCAATGTACTGTCTGGGGATGGAAGCCCATACAGAGACAAGCCTTGAAGCCCTCAGGAGGACCCCCCATCTCCTACCACTGTCCCCAGAGAGGGCTGCATTCACTCCACAACTCCCATCCTGCTGTGCGGAGGACCTACCAGTCCCTGCCGTGCTCCTGAGCTCCTCCAGCAGATAAGGGTTCTCAATCTGTTTCCTTCCCTACTTTTTCCATGATCGGTTCTGGTTTACATGGGTTTTGCTAAGGAAAAGATTGGGGCCTGTGCTCAGAACCCACTCAACCCACAGGGCTCCCTGGAAGCCCTGAGCCAAAGGCTCTCCTGACTGTTGGCAGCCACGGGACACACGTTAAGTACCCCCAAACAAATGAAAAGGCAGAGGATTTGCTCTTTGGGGGATACTCTGTATTTATGTTTGTTGTGGAATTTGCTTTCAGTAATTAGGAAAAAGACATTTACAACAAATGCAGGCAGGTATGTAAAGTGTACTGAGTGTCACCAGGATAAACCAAACACAGCTTAGAGCTCCCTCAAGTACCGCAGGGATTTAATTTGGAATTTGAAGCTCAGTATCACCAATCTCTTCACTATGTAACTAAAATGCAGTGATAACAAAGGCTGCCCAATGGAATAACAATCAATTTGTAGGAAGGCAGCATTACTTGCAGCAACCACAGGATGCTGGTAAACAGAACTGAACTGCCATAGCTGGCTGATGGTGTTGGGAGAGCTCAGTTAAGGTTTTGCTGAGAACAGCTGCCTGTTATTTAGAATTTTTTTAGTTTTCACATCAGAGCAAAGGCTGATTTCATGATGAACCCAGTAGGCGGTGTAACCCGCGGTGCCAGGAATGAAGTCATGTAGCTCCCCGATGTATTTCCTCATGTCACGGGCAGAGGTGTAGCCTAGGGATGGAAAGTGCTGCTCTAAAGCCCAGTGTTACTCTGTTGGGTGAAATGGGAACTATGGAACGTGGGAAGTGTTCAGGTGCAATCCCAGCTGTGCCCTCAGTTACACAAAGGCTGGCTATGCTCTCAGGAGTTTGTAACAATTGGGAATACACATCAGCATCGAGGGGCAATCTGGGAAGATGGACCTCCATACCTGCATTATTCTGCACCACGGATTGCACACATCATGCAAATCAGAACAACGAGCAACAAGCAGTGCAGAGCCATCAGAAACAGCAGTGTCAATAAAACCCAAGACAATCTTTTGGGCGAATTTTAGCAGTTTCGGGGTCTGGCAGGCAGGTAGAGAGCAATACCTGGGGGTGGCCCCAGCTCCACCAGCATCTGCAGCCATTTCCAGGCTATCTTCCACTTCTTAAAGGCTTACCCAAGCTGCACATTACCTGTCACCATGTTATTTATTGGGTATTCCTGGAGTGCATGGCATGGAACTTCTGCCTGGCTGGATGATCTTGAGCCTTTTTTTCCTTCACTGCTGTGTTGGGAGGAATTGTGTGTTACTCTGTGCTGGATATCTTCTAACAGATGAGGACACCTCCAAGTCCCCTTGCCATGGCCAGAAATACCTTTCAGGTAGGTTCTGTGCATCCTCCCCAGCTCCTTGCTCACACTCCTTGCTCACTGTCTCTGGTTCATCAGACAGATTTTCTTCAGGCTGTGATTATCAGTGCAGAGTTCATTTAGAATGGTGCACCATTCGCAGGAAAGTTTTAAATCCAGCAATACTTTTTGCTTTGAACGTGCTGAGAAATGACCTCAGGAAGACAACAGCATGCAGTGGGAGCTAAGTGATTTGGAAAGAAAGCCAGAGTCCCAGAATCTTAGAATTGGAAGGGTCCACCCGTGCATTGGGCTGCCCATGCCTACCCATGGCCTTGTCACCTCTGGGGATGGGGCACCCACAGCTGTGGGCAGTAGCACTAGAAGATGACACAAGTTGTTACTGCACCTACCTGGGGTGTTTCTCACGTACCTGTTCCACAAGGGAATCATCCATCTGCTCCCAAAGAAATCTACCTATTTTTCTCCTGATTTCTGCCGTGAGCAAAAAAATAAATGAGTGTAACAACAGCCCAGCAGCTCACTGAGCAGCACTGTGCCCTGAGCAGTGGGGCACCGATTCCTCAGACTGGGGAGGAGGCATCGCTCCCTCGGAGCGGGGGGATGGGGCACTGCTCCTCACCTTCCTGCAGGCAGGTGGGGGGCAGCACAAAGTGCCCCAGAGCCACAGGCTGCTGCTTGGCAGTGCTGCTGTTCACCCACGCCGAGAGGTAACAGGGATGAAACACTGTAGCTCTGCCATCCAGGTACTCCAGGCTCTCGTGTATGCTGAGAAAGAAAAGGGGTGGTTTCTAAAGGTAAGCACAACTACAAGCCAAACGGAAGAAGCTTTGGCTCTGATCAGTCTGGAATCAACACTTGTGTTCTGTTATCTCCTGCTTGTTTCAGTTTTGTTTTGTTTTGTTTTGCCTGTGGTTACTTCCCTGTTTGTCCCATAGTCCTGGGATGGTGCCAACTTTATTTCAGACCCCAACTTTTTGTAGCAGGTCAGTCCCATTGCCTCCATTCACCCAGCTATAGGTATCCTTTATCAGCTGGTTCTTCACAGAGGTCTCGCACAGCACTAAGTCTAGGCGGGTTTTATTTCTGCTGGTGCGAATGCAGATGGATCAGCTCCTGCCTTGCTCTGTTCTCCCACAAAAAGCTGTGTCAGCAGCCACACAGCACCATCCCCACTGCTGGGAACATCAGCGTTAATGCAAGTGTTGACATCACTGCCTTTTGCTCCCCACAAACCAGCAAAGCCCCTCCAGCAAACCTCAAACAGGACATTCCCAAGTGTGTGCTGGCCACTGGGGGTGGCACAAAAGGGGGACAGAGCCAACCTGCGGGTATCGGGGTGAGTGGCATCGCTGCTGAAGAGATAGTCAGCATCCTGCCAGCGGGCGAGCAGCCCTCCGCCAGCCACTGCAGGAGGAAGAGCGGGGAGAGGATGAAGGGGAACCCCGCTGTGTCACACAGCCCGGTGTGTCCCTACACACCATGGTGTCCTCAGCCCTTAGCACACCCCCCACCCCAAGCCATCCCAGCGTGAGCCCAACACAACACACCCCCGTGCCCCGCTGTGCAGCCCAGCTCACTCCCACACGCACCCCAACGCATCCCCACACATTTCCCACACTCCGCTGTGAATCCCCCACCCCATTCCATGCTCCCCCCACCCCAAGACAGCCCCACAAACTCCCCTGCGCCCCCAGGGCTCACCCCACAGCTGCCGGGGGCCGGGCTGGACGCTGTGAGAGAACCAGGCCTGGCAGCCCTTAAACATGGCGGCGGGAAGCTGAGGGGCAGCGGCGGGAAACGCTGAGGGATGGGGGGAGGAGAAGGACCCAAGGATGGGAGTGCAGCTTTCCTGCCAGCAACGTTCAGACCAAACCCTGCTTTCAGGTATTTTAATCCGAGTGAGGAGCTCGTCAGCAAATGATGCGTCTTTGAGTAAAGCGTGGTTTGGAGCAAAGCAGAAAGACAGAGGTTTGCATACATCTCATTGCTCAGCACAGACAGCGCAAACAGAACACAGCAGTCTACAAAACGAGCCAGAACTGCATCAACCTCGAGCAACGCAATCTTCATCCACGAAAGCACTCCAATAAATCACCCCTGCACAGAGCTGAGGTCTTCACCCACCAGGTGCAGCCAGACCCAGCAGGACGACGTTACCACAGCAGCCCCCCATGGAGCCACAGCAGCACTGTTTGGGTAATGCCTCCCCAGGCAGCACACTGTGCCCTGAAAATCATCATTTAATCTTTTCCGGTTTTATTAGGTAAAACTTGTGTACAATTCAGACCGGTGAAGAGCTCCAACAGATCTAATTGGCAGTGCAGGTACTAAGAGCTACATGCCCAGGTGAGTCAAGATAGAATTACTGCTCCAAGTCAAAGATACTTTAACACAAGCTCCAGCAATTGGTTACGGAGAACAGCTGTTAGAGTAGGCTTTACTGATTTATTGCTATTAATTACGTTCCTTTCCTGGGGAATGCACAAGTTTCAGAGTTATGATTTTGCACAAGTTTCAAAGGCATGAATTTGCATTACAAATTTTCACAATTCCAATCCCAATCAGCTCGCTTTGCATCTTCCTTCATCCTAAGCAACAGGTCAGGGTATCTTCAACGGCATCTCCGTATTTGCAAAACATCTGCTGCGTGCCTAAAGGCTGCAAGGCAGCACCCCCCCATTCCCTCCCCTTCCCTCCCCCCCGCCCCCCCACATGCTTTTCCAGGAACACAGATTTCAGAGCACTGCTGCTAACCCTAGAAGAAAGCATCCTAAAAAAAGGAATTTCGTGATGAAGATGCTTGCTCTTTGCCATCCTACCCAGAAGTGCGATGCAAAGAAAGGACAGAAGCCCAAGCTCATTTCCACTTGAAATGCAGAATTCTTCAGACCTGCATGGGAGAGGAGATTGATATCAGTCACTCTGTGCGCTGCGTCAACTGCCTAATTATTTTTTCAGAACCTATTCTTCCAATGCAACCATTTTTTAGCTTTCCAGCCTTTCCAGCCCGTCAGTATTAGTTTTTTTGCTGCTAATTAAGAGTACCCTCTTCCTCCCCTGCTCACTTCAACCTTATTTTCTCCTGTTCCTGAATACCAACATCCCTCCTAGCCTT